TAGTCCTACTTCTAAATACAAGTGCTTATGCCCTTATATGGATTTATCTTGTGTTTACACTGCTTATCCTATTGTGCATCTAGAAGACACAGTATACCAGTTTGTATTCCTTCAAAGCCAGGCCCCCCCTAGGCATACCCGGCAATGAATACCATATTCAGGACTTTCCAAGTAGACTTCCATCATCCAATAATCATCCCCATATGCACCAATCTGTTGGACTTATTATGGGTTTGCACCGCATTTAACTGGCTAGCATTCTTTGTACTTCCCTGGCATACAGAGTTGCACAATGCCCCAAATCTTCCAGGTTCTGGTATTGCCAATCCTTGGTATGCCAACGAGTTACAGGCATTTTTCCCCAATGTAGACGATAGTCACCATAACACAGGATTAAATTCGAAAATTATTGTTTGTAGGATTTGAACTCTCAACCTGCTACTTGGCGAGGTAACAACTAGACCACTTTACTAAGTCACCACACCCATTTTAAGTTTGGAATTTAATTCGCCTTTTTCGTTATATATTAGACAAAAAAAAATTGTATTTTTTATATAATATAAAATAAAAGGCAAATTAATAAAAATTTCAGAATATATATGTTTTGTCATGTTGAATAACTTTACTTAATAATTAAAAATTAATATACTTAGCAAGGTTTTGACTTTTATAAAATATTTACTTTTATATAATTATGTCATAACAATTTTTATTATAATTATATAGGATATATTAATTTTTATACTATATTTTATAGTCCAAACCACCCCCTACTATAAAATAGTTATCAGACATGCAGATATTTAAATGGTGCATATAATAGTTTATTTATGTATAACAATATATAATAACATTATAAAAACAAGTTTGCTAAAATGTACCTATGGTGTTCAACACTATAGGTCCCTATTTCTCAAAAATATACTAAGTAAATATGATCAGGTATTCTAAGTAAAAATGTTTAGGACCCTCAAAAATCTTACAAAAACTAAAATTAAAACCTTATATCTAATATATATTATAATATATAAAAAAAAAATTATAAAAATGCACCCTAATTCTAAATTTTATTAAAAACAATTATATATAGTATTGAACATCATAGGTGCATTTTATAATAATTGTATAAAAACTAACAAATAAAAAAAAGCTTTACAAATAATAAAAAAAAACACAAATTATAGCAATTAAATGAATGTCTAATTAAATCTGGATCAAGAGTTTTCCAGGCAAATGCCACCCACAATGCAAGTTGTAAATATGATGGTTGCTTAATATATCCTGAAGAAGTTAACTTATAGATTGTTTTTGTCATCTAATGATTGTAAAGTGCACAGATTTTTGCTTTAAAACTTTTATTTATACTAATATCCAATAGTTGTAATTTAGATGTAAGTCTGCCAGGAATTACAGCCATGTTTGTATTATGATCAAGCAAACATTGTTTGATTGGATCCATTAAATGTGCACAAAAGGAGCAAGTATCAAAAGAGATCTTGGATTACTAGATTCACTTTTAGACTAAACATTTTCAATCCATCATAATATTTTGTTTTTATTAACCCAACCTTTTTTATTTGCTCTAACAAAAACATTATGAGGAAAATTTTCTTGAGGCAAGGTCTTTCTTTTAAAAATCAATACTGTTAGTAATTTTGTCTCATCTGCTAGACATGCAAGAATAACAGTAAAATTTTTTTTTCATTGCCAGTAGTTCAAATGCTAATAGTGTGAGTTTTTTGAGTTTCAATTGTTGATGGGTTTGGTGAATCAAAGGTGAGAGGAGTTTCATTCATGTTTCCTATTAAAGATAGAGGGTAATTGTATCAAATTCATAGATTTAAAACATAATTAAGAAAATTTGATTGTTGTTCTTCTAAATCTTCAGGTAGCTTCTGTGAGATGGTTGTTTGATGATGAATTGATAAGTTATAATATTTCAAAAAACTATTAAGCCAGTTACTTGAAAACATAAATGATTGATCTTGATTAAAATTTATGGCTTGGGTAAGTGAATTTGCCTTTGCAGTTATTATCTCTCTAGTAATAGCATTATGTAGTCGACATTGGTCCATAATCCAATCAAATAAAATTTTTTCTATTTGGGCATAATCAGGTGGGCATCCATCATGTAACTTGTTTTTTTTATTTATCCAGTCACATAATTGATTCAATTGGATTTTAAACTTTTGACATATTTGTTTAACACTTAGTTGTGTTTTATTTTTCTTATAGTAAGTAATAATATTTAATTTTTTGCAGGCATTCCACTTTCTTTTGTTTTTTTGTTATACATGCTTTTGAGATACTTTTATTGCTTCATGAGGTTGTTATTTTTTTTTTTTTTTGAAAAAAGCAAGACCATTTTAACATCATATTTATATATTTTGTTAAAGACTATGTTAGTAATAAAGTAACAATTAGACAAGCTTTTTGTTTTTACAAATCTCTTTTATTACAATTACAAAAAAATTACAAAGAGCGAATTCACTAATCGCTTTTATTAAAATTACAAAAAAATTACAAAGAGCAATCTCTTATTGCAATTACGGAAAATAAAGATTACACTAAGAAAAAAAAAGCATTAAAGACATTGTCTTTATGCAAAATAACAAGCAAGTTCTGACCTAGTAAAAATTAATCATTAGCTTAAGCTTGTTATTTTTCTTGACATAACGGCAATTGTTGACATAACGGCGATAGTTAAAAATTGGCAATTGTTAACAGGACCGGCAATGGTAATTGTTTGTAAACCAATATGCACCAGTGAAATTTCTGCATAATCCGACAGGGGAGGGTGGTTTGGACCGTAAAATACGGTAATCACCATTTTTTGCTGCAACAAACTGGCGATCATAGAGGAGGAAGACTGTATAAAATAAAAATTAAAAGCCGGGTTGCCATATTATTCTTCAAAATTTTGTTATGAGAACCAAAAAATTAACTTTGTATGGCTTAATATTTTTATTCATAATTATTTACCCATATTATCAAGAATATTTTTGCCAAACTTATTTAAATCGTTTTGGATATCTTCTTTGGAGTATGTATTTATTAATCCTCTCAATGACACAATACTGCCTGCTTGGATTTCTTCAATATCCTTATTAAGAGCCCGAGAGTTCCTTTCCCGTAGATCTCTACAGAGTTGATGGTATCAAAAATAATGGACATATTTTTATTGGGGGCACTCTGCTTTTTTTCAATTTCTTAAAGTTCTGCCACAATTGTCTCAATTATTGGACACTTTTCTGGGTCACCATCACAACATGCCATATAAAGTTACTAGTTTTAGGAACGGCCTAAATTGTTTAAAGTACAGTATTATAAATTAACAAGTTAAAGCAATTTGATTTGAAATCGGCCACTTACTCATGATATATTCACTCTCTTGTTCATTAAATGCTAACCAATTCCTAAAATAGAACACCAAGGCTATATATGTCAGATTTTTCATTACGTGGTCTCCCAGGTTTCCCGTAATTATATGAATATGGATCAAAGTAGGCAGCTCTTCCACATATTATATTATTTGTAGAATCATCTAACTTCCTTGCTAGTCCGAAATCTGCAACTTTAATTCTCTTACGATGAACTAAAATGGTTTCAGAAGCCTATCAAAATATGTTACAATTTCTTATTTATATTTATTGGTTCATCAATTTATATGCCTCTGTGGATTATACCTATTTCATGAAAACACCTAACTCCACTCGCAATTTCCCAAGCAAAGCACAGCTTATCATATAAAGTCATTTCTTCGAAATAATTGACTAACTTAGAATTTGATAGAAAAATATTATAGCAACCTCGTGAAACGCAAAAGAATTTTAATATGTGTGGATGGAATTTCACTTGGTTTGATAACTAAAATAATGTAAATGTTTATGGTTTATATATTTTATGTGTTTCAATATAACCAAAGCGAATAAGCAAACAACATACTTCTTTAATAAACTGTTGATACATTTCAAGGATTGTTATAAGCTTTTAATACATTTTAATGCCACAGTTAATTTGACCCCGCCTATTGACTACTTGGCACGATAGATTTCACCATATAAACCTTCATCAAGCCCTTCTAGTTTTTAAAATTCGAATACTCTATATATTTAACATACCCCGCTTCAATCGCTTTTTCTAGATGATCGAAAGCATAGATCGCATGTGTTTTAGAACTTTATAGAATTCCATTAATTACAATTATATACAATAGGTAAACCGATTCCATGGAGTGCAAAACTCTCTTTTGGTGATAAAAAACAATATAAAATCCTCCGTATTTGTTTTTGCTGGGGCGCTTTTGTGAGTATATTTGTTTAAATAATATGTTTTTGATATTCAATTTATAAGTTATTTATATTTTAACGAAATGATTATGACAGATTAGGAACGATCTATTTTTTAGCTTCAGCAATAATTTTTTTATCATTGATGGATTTACTACATCTCCTAGTCCCTTTATTTATTATTTCTTTATTCAAGTTAATTCTACTAAATAAGACTTACTATACATTTAACCCAAAATAACTACCGAACCAAATAATACTAATCTAACTACTACTACAAATACAATTACTTTTGATAATACAACTATTATATTAAGAAAGCCTAATGAAACTATAAGATACCTTGGCATATCTTTACTATTATTATTTCAGTATTTGTAGCCTGGAAATTTGTTTAATTCATGTTCTATTTGATATTATGATAATCGTTATTTACATTTATCTCAGGATGTTTGTTTAATCATATTTAGCATATATTAATATATATTTTGAAATTACCAACCAGCTCCCTTAAAATTCGTTCGCTAAATTTGTGCTTAGCAAATACCACGCGCTTGTGCGATGATCATATGATAAATACCATGCATATTCTCGTAAAATAACAAAGGGTTTAACCATATTTAATATTTGTGTACGGAGTTAAAAAAATTATTTCGAATGACGATATATATTTTGGCAGAGTGTCTAGCTATTTCTAGCATCTAAAATAACATTAGCAATATCACAGAAACAACCAACCTAAATTCTATAAATTTATTCTATAAATTTATATGATTAAAGAAACATTTCCAGTCGAATTTGATTATGTAAAGCCACTAGCTGCTAGTGCAACCAGGGTAAAATCGCCACGAAAAAAATTACAGCAATTACGTGACATAATACTATGCAACTAAAATCTGTGTATAGTAATTTGAATAAATGCAACCGAAAAAAATTTTTACGAATTAACGAAACTACTTTACAGAAACTAGTGTCTCAACCCGGGTTACCCGTCGGTAGGGCTCTGCATGGGCCGGCCCGTGCGTAGGCCTACTCACTTAGCCGACATCACGCTGAGTGACAATTTACTAAAAATATATATCTGCAACTAATAAGACGCTAATCCTAACCCTATGTGATGTCGGCTAAGTGAAACGACGGGTCTACCCGGGTACACATTAAATATGTTATAGATCCCAGTATTGCAGTAGATCGAAGAACGTTTGAAGTATAGGTGGGTATATATTATATAATTATGTTATATAAAAATTAGCTAATTTGAGCTAATTTATGAATAGTTAGAATTAGGGTGAAGATTGGAATTTAAATTAACTCATAATAGTTAGTTTTTATATATTATAATTTTATACTACAAACCTATACTATAGAAGATCCAATTCGAATAAAAAAAAAGTTCATCGAATTTGGCCAGGTGGGTGTCGAGATATCTTCGATCAAAGTTTAAAAACAATCTTCAACTGACCAAATTTGATGAAGTTTTTTTTTCTTTGATTGTAGAAATCATTAGAATTTGAATAAAAAAAGTTCATCGAATTTTGGTCAATCAAAGTTTAAAATGATCTACATTATCAAAGGGATGCTCCTAAAATTTATTCGTATGGGCGAAAATTTCCGGTTTTCATAATTTTTATTATGTATAAAATTTTTTTGAACCAATCATATGTAAGATTTGAGTGATGACTGAGATAAAAGTGATATTTTAATCGATTATATTAAAATTTCTTGAGCTACTTATCAGTTGCTTATCAGTTTTTTATATAGTTTACCTTATGAGTCCTTAGATAATTTACGAGTCTTATCAGTTTTTATAAAGTGCCATACGATAGATCCCCTATGAGTTGTACTCGGGGTATTATTACTTAATGCCCTGACCTCTCACATGATAAAATACGTAATTAGCTCATACGTAATTAAGCCTTGATATAAAATGATATTAAATTAA